GTGTATAATAAAGCCCATAATCATTCAAAACAGATAATAAAATAGCATGAATGCTTCATAAATTATAGATACGTTGGAGACGTATCAGCCCCCTATTGAAGTCTTGAAGCGGACATTTTCCTTAGCTGATGAAAAGGGCAAGGCCACTGCTATTGTTGATGAAGGCATTCGTCCATTGGATGGTCAGTTTTGCAAAGCTGCATCTTACTCCACCAATGATGACTCTGCCACTCATGATTCTGCTGCCAATGGACCCAAGTCAAACCCTCAAGCCACTGCTCCTCGTGTGATGACTAACCGTGAACTGCTTCTTAGTATTCACCAGAAGGTGGATCGAAACCACAAATGGGTTAAGCGTCAGTTTGGCTCTATTTTTCACAACATGACTTCTACACATAATGCAGTGAAGAAAAACCATTACTACCTCCATGAAGTCTTCGATCGCACCTGGGCTATTCTGTCACATCTCTATGGTGAAGAAGATCTGCATCAAATGGGTTTCAAGGAAGATTTTGACTGGTCTTCTCCTCCACCGAAGAGATTCAAGAAGGTCAAGGTCCCTCCCTTGGTCGCCAGTTCATATTCTTCATCACGCGACACGGACGAGTATGAAGACTTGGACGACACTGCGACATGCCCTACAACAACACAAGACCCAACAACGCTGGCGCTCCTCCATGATCATGATATTCTTCAGGGGCGTTAGTCCTCATTTTCAACCCTTTTGGTCATTCGATGACAAATGGGGAGAAATTTGAGTTAGTTTTCAAGCGGGTCTATCTTATATGGGTGTTTTTTGCTAAGTTACAACTCTCGTTCTTCTGATGACTTTGCTGGATCGAGTTGTAATCTTAAACTCTATGGTGGCCTGATACTTTTGCTGAGTTCTTCTGCATGCTTATTCCTCATTAATATCATTTCACGCATGTTGAATTACATTAGTCACCATATTTCATCATGCATTTCAAATTCCTCATATTATATGTGTCAAATGCGTGTATAAATTACAAGATATAGGGGGAGATCTCCATGATTATACTCTTCAAGTGTGCATCGCTTCAAAAGCAAATTCCTCACTATGCACATCTTCAGGGGGAGTTCTTCTATATCTTGCAATCAAATTGCTCAACATCAGTATTTACACTTCATATGCTTATCCCCGTTGAAAACTTAACATATATTGTCATCAATCACCAAAAAGGGGGAGATAGTAAGTGCATCTAGTGCCCCTTAGTGATTTTGGTGTACTGACGAGTTATAGGTTAAGAGACTTATGCGTTTGTGAGTGTACACAGGTCTATAAGTATATGAGGAGTTTGATATTTACAGAGAAAGTCGACCCCTAAAAATGAAGTTCTTCGACTGAAGACTTTGGATTTCTGAAGACTTTCTGAAGACTTTGAAAGTGAAGAAATTGGTGTGACCTTGAAGACTTGGAAATCATTCGAGGAACATGAAGCGTGAAGACTTTGTTTTTTGTTGTTTCATTTTCTCTTTCTTGAGTCATAGGAAGCACCGTACTGTTAAAGGGGGTTGAGGAAATACTAAGGAAAAAATTCCATGTGATGCTCAACTCAAAATCCTACACCTACCAATCTCTTCGAGTGAAGCCATTGGAAATCTCATACAGTTCAGTCATATTCTTCAGTGACAGAGACGAAGTTCTTCTGGTCCCTGAGGAATTTGTTATGACTGAGGAGTTAGGAATTCGCCAGTGCGGATTGCCTACACAGTGAGGAACATGATAGCCCTGAGGAATTTGAGAGTCAAAATTCCGACCGTTGTTGTGCTACGCGCCAGCTGTCCAAAAATATCTACCCACCTAATGGTCATATTATTGAAGGGCATTTATGTCTTATCATGTCGGGCTGCTCCCTAGGCTATAAATAGCCGCCCCCTACAACCACTAGTTGGTTGGTTGCTCCAAGAGAAACTAACACTTGTCATTTGAGAGCAACCCATCCTTCAAGGACTTTGAGTGAAAATCATCAAGTGAGGAAAACCCAAACCCAAACACCTTCAAACCCAAAGTGATTGAGCATCACTAAAGAGATTGATCCTGCGTGGATCCGACGCTTGTTTCTTTTAAAGACTATGCTTCTTCCAGACGGTTATGCGTCAAGGTCTAGAGCATCCAAGAGGAATTGTGGATCACCAAGTGACCGAGTTTGTGAAGGTTCGGAAGTCACCTGAAGACTTACCACGAGTGATTGGGCGAGGTCTATGTGACTTTAGCTCAAGGAGAATACGGTGAGGACTGTGTGTCCGGGACTGCGTGTCCTTTGGTTTAAATACCTAGCCGCTCCAACCAGATGTACAACTGAGACAGCAGTTGAAACTGGTCTACCAAATCATTTTCTTCACCAAGCTTAGTGGTTCTATTTCCTCAACTCTTTCAATTCCTCATTTCACCTGTTCTGTGCTTGTTCATATCTGTTTGAAGACTTTGACTGAAGACTTTCTCAATTTCCTCAGTTCAATTTCTTTAGTCTGTTCGTCTTCATCTTGTGTTATCCTGTGTTTACACTTTTTGTACTCTGTGCTTGTCTTCATTTTCATCATGATGACTATGCTTGTGGTCTACCATGTTTACTTTTGAGTACTTATTCCGCTGCAAGTAGTTCTTCGCTTAGGAATTTCCTCACCCTAAAATTTCTCAGTGAAGAATTCATAAAAATCGCCTATTCACCCCCCTCTAGTCGATATAACGCACTTTCACATACTTGAATCCATCCATCATCCTTAAGGCACTACCTATGGATTATTCCTTCAAACATAATCAATGAAAACCTAAGTCCATAAATATTGTCATTAATTACCAAAACCACACTTAGGAGCTACATGCACTTTCACTTATGTATTTGAAGTGTGTGCACTTGATCATTCAAGTTCTTAATTAATATGCTGTGATGACCAAAGTTATTTCCTTCAAAACTTTAGGAAAATGGGATAGGCTGATTTTTTTTACTTTTAGGATTGGGAATATGCTAGTGCCCTAAAAATGTGCTACTTATAGTTTCAGGGAAGTTCGACACGGATTGACCTTGTTTTAGATATTCCAACAATTTTTCACATAAATAGGTCACGCCTAGGAACGTTCATGATTTTCTCTTTTCTTTTTGCTCCATTCTCTTCTTGTTCTCGTTTGGTTCTGCCGCAACTTTCCCTGCGTTAGTCTTGCAACAATTGGCACGCTATATATATGAATTCCCTAGTCCAAATTATATGTTTAAAGAGAATGATAAAAACGAACGACCTATATGAGTTTATTCCAGCATACTGGTCCTTGACATGGCATTGGCACGCTTCCTAAGACATTCCTTTGTGGTGCTATGGTGGCTATATATATTTGGCTGTCTTGTTTGGTCCCTAGTGTCATTCATGTACATCAACATGAGTAGTGTCTACACGCAAAGGTACCTCGGATATATGATATTTGTATATGTTAGTATGTTCATATTAGAACCTTCAAAAGGAATCCATAAAGAACAACTTTTCAAACCATGAGGTTAAACTTTGCACTTGAACTTCTTGAACTGGCAAGAGAACAATGGGACGAGAGTACATATGACATTCTAGGATGGGGCATTGGGGCTACCCAGAGACCAGTATCCTTCCCTCTGCCGGCTGTGGTCCATCCATGCATCGACCATGCGAACATTTGTCCTAGTGACTCGAACACACGACATGAATCCCCGCTCCCTTTCCCCTCCCTGGCAGGAGCTCCCGTGAATAAGGAGGCTTGTGATGCCCTTTTGGGTGCTCAAAAGTTAGATCATCAAAACATAGGGGTTGAGAGAGAGAGAGAGATGCGATAATGTACTATAATCAGTTGACTATTTGCCGAGTTTGCAGACAACAATTGTGAGAACAAAAGTCTGAAGCTGTACTACCCTGTCATTTGCATCTTCTAACAATTTATTAGGGCCATTTAATCACTCTGAACATGCATGAGGAAGATTATGTTCAACAATGTTGCTTGCTTATTGCTTCTCTTAATAGCATGTGCTCTGGTCTACATGTTGATCATTTCAACTGTAATACATTTATGAACACTATCATCTGAGACGATTTGGTCGAAAGTCTGCATGCAATCGATGCAAATCCGCGGTACCCTAATCTAGAGGCCTTGTATGAAAATAGGAGAGGTCCAAAGAAATTTGAAGGAATGTGAGAAACTCCTATCCAGAGGACTAAATAAATATTTAGAGCCGAGGATGCCTACAAGCCGCGTAACGTAATCATTTGCTTATTAGAACTGTCTAGGGCTTAAAGACATGGCAGGGATTTATTCTTGCCCTGTCAAAGCCACCATACCTTAGGCTGTCCAAAAAGTGCAATTTAGCACATTATTGTTAATGACCCGCAAATGAAATTTCTAGTTGTCAAAGAAAAAATAAAGTAGCTGAAGTAAATATCTTTCATTATTAGATCCATCAATAAAATTTATTCTCATGTTGTATTTATTTGGTGTTGGAGAGGTTGACGTGTTTTCTATAAATGTTGTCCATGTAAATATATTTTGAAATATTTATTTTTGAATGTGGCCCTGTTTGGATACTCTAACTTAGCTAGAGGTTAGAGTTAGTTTCTACCTCATGACTAACCCTGAACTAACCCAAAGAGGTGTTTGGATGACAGGGTTAGATTGACAATAAATGCACTAGGACAACTAGCTTTAATTAGCACCTTTTGGATGGGATAGTTTTTTTGGGTGAGTTAGATACAACTAGTTCAAACTAGCCCTCATGTTTGGATACTTTAGAGCTGTTTGGGTCCAAACTAGCTCAAACTAACTCTAACCCATGGGTTCAAATAGGGCCAATGTATTTTGAAATAGAAGGGGCACTGCATGCTTGGCCCGCGACCAGGCCGGTTCCAACATTTGGCCCAACCCAAGAAGAACATGCCGCAACCCTAAGCAGGCACGAGCTCACTCCCCACTAGTCACTACCACCCGGCGGCCACCACTCGCCACTTCGCCCATCCCAGGGACGACGATGCCAACCCGAGACCCTCGCCGTGGCTCCCCACCGGAGCCGTTCATCGGCGTCAGCATGGAGCACGCGGAGGACCTCCTGCAGGGCCACGGCTTCGGCCCCGAGATGCTGGGGGTCGGCTTGGACATGATGAGAACCGTCGTCCACCGCTCCCTCCCCAAGCCGCCCGTCTCCACCGCCGTCCCTCTCTCGCTCGCCGGCGCGGCTTGGGTCCCCGGCGGCGCCGACCGCATCAGCGCCCTCCCAGAACAAGTCCTCCAGGACATCATCTCCCGCCTCCCCGCGGCGGACGCCGCGCGCACCTCGGCGCTCGCCTCGCGCTGGCGCCCCCTCTGGCGCTCGGCGCCCCTCGTCGTCGCCGACACCCACTTCCTTCCGAACGGACGGCAGATCGCGCTCGGCGTCGGCGAGGAGGAATCGCCCGGGCTCGCAGACCTCGTCACCCGCGTGCTCGCGGCGCACCCGGGGCCCTTCCGCTGCGTCCACCTAACCCGCACCGCCATGGACGCGCACCGGGGCGAGATCGCGCGCTGGCTCGACGTCCTCGCCGCCAAGGGCGTCCAAGAGCTCGCCTTCATTAACCGCCCGTGGCCGCTCGACATCCGCCTCCCCGCCACGCTCTTCCGCTGCGCCCCCCTGACGCGCCTCTTCCTCAGCGCCTGGAGGCTCCCGGACACGGCCGCCGTACCGCGCTCCGCCGCCTTCCCCAACCTCCGGGAGCTCGGCCTCTCCCTCGTCGCGATGGAGGACCGCGACCTCGCCTTCCTGCTCGACAGAAGCCCCGTCCTGGAGATCCTCACCATCGTTGCGGCTCAGGGCGGAGTGCGCCTCCGCCTTATCAGCCACAGCGTGCGGTGCGTTCAGCTCTGCTATTCCATCCTGGAGGACATCTTGGTGGTGGACGCCCCTCGCCTGGAGAGGCTCTTGCAGTGGACTTGGGGCCTCGGCAGTAACTCCGACAAGTGCTGCAGGGTCAAGATTGGCCATGCACCCAACCTGCGTGCTATTGGATACCTTCAACCAGGAGAGCATGACTTGGAGATTGGCAACACCGCTATCAAGGTCATTACATCGTACATTTGCATTTGGATACCTTCAGCCAGTAGTTAGATCATATGTATACATTCAGCCAGTAGTTAGTTCATATATATGTATGCAGTTGTCTTGTCAATAACAACGTATGCCAGCCAAAATATGATCTTCATCTTCCACATTTGCATTGCAGGCTGGGACTAAGTTGAGCACCAGCACCCTTGTCCCGAGTGTCCAGAACTTGGCCTTGGAACTCACATTCCAAGTTCGCAATGACCTCAAGAAGGTGCATAACTTCCTCCGATGTTTTCCCAACATCGAGACGCTCCATATTAGGGTATCCAAAACATCCAAAGATCATTTTTCATTACCACTATCTATGTACGCAGTGTGGCTTAGCAGACTAAATATTTATGATCCAATCTTGTTGCAGTCCGAAAAGGCTCGTGGGGAGTCTACTGGCAAGGTCGGTCTCAAGTTTTGGCTCGAGGGCAGTCCCATTGCGTGTATCCGGCAGCACTTGAAGAAGATAATTTTCCATGACTTCCGAGGGTCGACAAATGAAACTGCTTTCCTCAAGTTCATCGCTGAGAATGCTCGGGTGCTGGAGAATATGGTTATTGTGGTGTCCGATTGGTTGTTGTCTTCGGGAGTTGATGTGCGTGCTATACTGAAGCATCTGACTTGTGCAAAATGGGCCAGCGGAGCTTGTAAGTTTCAAGTTTTCAAGAGCATACTCAGGGAAGGGGAGCGTCCGGTTTATGGGGTCCGACTAGCTTCTGAGGTTTTGCCATCCGACCCTTTTGACAAGATCTACTATCGTGAACCACTGTTGTAGGGTTAATACTTAGTAGTACTATTCCTCTTGTAGAAGACTGCCGGGCGCTGCCAGGTACTTAGACCTGATTGTTATCACAGTCGGCAGCTGCAGTTCATGTCATTTCTCTAGCAAGTTGATTCCATGATGTTACATCACAAAACTTGTGATAAATAGCTCTGTCTTTACCTTATTACTACTACAAGGCGTTTCCTGGAATGTTGGCTCTGTCTTTACCTTATTACTCCCCCCTAAAAGAAATATAAGAGCATTTAGATCACTATTTTAGTTATCTAAACGCCCTTATATTTCTTTACAGAGGGAGTACACTTTTTGCTGCTCTTGTACATGAATCCTGATTATCTAGTATGGTCATTCTGATCTGTTGAGCAGCAAATCAGTTATGTTAGCCATTGAAGTTGGTTTGATCTGTGGACATATGGTCCTGTTTCGAATCTAGGAGTTTGAACCTGGCAGGTGCAATCCTCTGAATTCCTTTGGAATTTCTCCAATTTCATACAAGGCCTCTAGATTTGGGTATCTAGGGTTTGAACCAATTAATTGAATTAAGAACTATGCTGAAACTCTTATGATGTTGCCATTTTACATGAAGAAGGTAGGAGTTATTGTATAACAGTGAGGTACTTGTATGGTTTTTACATGAAGAATGTACTGCCGCCATTCCAAAATACTTGTCATGGTTTTAGATCAAATTTGAACTAAAACTACGACAAGTATTTTTGGAACGAAGGGAGTAGCAGTTATCTGGGCTCACGTGCCTCCAATATTTGCCCAGCTTTGTCATTAATGTGGTAGATTACCATGAAACGCCACCTTTCCTGAGGCCTATCTTCAAATTACATAGGTTTATTAATTGATTGATCCAACTACATTACTTGATTCTCTTATGTTCTTTGTCAGTGAAAGATCTGCCTTTACACTGAAATTAGTTCTTTGTGCATATTTGCCCTTTTGCGCGTTATTTGGTAATTTGCTACTCGAGAGCTTGCTTCGCTTTCCTCGCGGGTGATTAGTGGTGCACGTTTTTTTTCTTGCATTTTCTCTCTGTGTAAACGAACATCTGTTTTAGTAATGATTTGTCTTACATATGCACTATTTGGTGCCAATGAGCCTTCTCCTCTGAGAGCTCAACAGGACATGATTCTTTTGCATTTAACGGACGTTTATCTTTGAATACCAGTAGAAATCTCTGATGTTGATGTTTTGTTCGCCTATCGCTCACATGTTCGCCTATCGTTTATCTTTGCCATGGCGTAAGTCATTTTTCCCATGATGGAAACTGATCCATATTAATTGTGAAGTGTTTCTGTGTGCCTTATTGCTGCTTTTCTGTTCGTGCCCGAAGGATAATTCCTGCTTATGTGTTAGTTTTGTCTTTGGTGCTTAGACTTCTTCCGACAATATGAGAATATATGACATTAGTGTTATTATTATCTTTTCAACGTATTCTAATGATGGAGTAGCATCGAAAGTGACCAAATTCAGTCAATTAGTGAAAAGGGACAGCTTTGCACAAAATATACTACTACATTATGAGGAATCTTCAGGCCTAAATAAGATTCCATATTGCTTTTAATTAAGGTGTGAATGAAATTACAAGCTCTTAAAGTTATAAAACATAACTAAAACCGCAACTCATCTTCCTATATTAGTGATACGGATACCTACATTTCTTTCCTCAGCAAACTAGGAGCATTGGAGGTGCTTCTTTGTCCCGGACAAACAAAAACTCCTTCCCGGTTCATGATTGAGGTACTAGCTATTGGTGTTTGCTCACATCCAAGTTCTCCAATGACAGAATTAGTCATTTGGGTCTGCTTGCCTCTGTCACTATCCGCACTTTGCAAATTTACTTACTACATTTTCTTGATGTTAAAAGTGGTAGAAGTAGCTGTCAGCCCTGAACTCCCTCCTTCTCCTGGAAGAGTTGATATGACTGTGGCTGTTCAGCCGTGAACCTGTGCTTGCCCTGCCTCCATTGGCACCGGAATTTTTTCCTGGAGCGGGTAACATCTGTGAAGAACAAACTGTTGGCACCCCCTTTTGCTCGTTAGACTTGGCCATCGTTCGCTCATCTCTTAATGCTGGATCTGCTCCTGGAGCTGCTCTGTTTACTTCCTCTCCTGGGCGTGCACGGAAGTCTCACGCTGCTCTCCACGAGTTTTTGCTGAACCTCTCCTCTGGCCCTCTGGAGAAAATGCAAGTGAAGTCGTCCATCAAGAAAGCCTGGCTGCCTGGGCAAATGAATTCAAGATTAATGAAGTTGCCACCTTACAGTCAGTCGGAGCCGGGTTCTGTAGCTGGCCGGCCACGGAGCTTGATGCAGAGAAGCTTCTCAGGGCCTAATTGACCGATGAAACGTCGACACTCAAGACTGTTTTTGTCAATGCTCTGAGGTTCGTGGATGCAACAGATCCACGACTCGATTCAAGCTTACGGGCGAAACATTTCACCCTTGCACTACATTTTGTAGCACCACCGCATTATGGTATTCTTTTCTGTGGATGACGGGGGGCTCCACGTATGTACTGAGTATATTTCTTTTGTTTCTTGTAGCCCGCCTATGACGCCGACGTGTCACGACGTCCGCGACGCGTGCTTCAAAGTATATAGTCGGTTGCTAGCTTCACAACTTATACATCTTCAAAAGAGAAGAAGCTTCACAGCTTACTTGTAAAATACGCGTTTCCGATCATCAAACTTGCACGGGCGCTCATATACGGCCAGGGCTTTCGAACCCGTGACTTGTCCTTAGTATGCTCGGGTGGACAACCACCATACCGGTGATCATTCATATCTGGGTTGCACGACTAATTTCTATATCATATAAAGACAGACCAAAAATAAATTTTCAAAGAAATGTAGCCCGAAAAAAGGAAGCATTGTGGCTCCACCATGTTGTTACCTCATGGTCAGCGTTAACTAAGACTACCACCAAGATACGACAACACAACATGATGGGATAAACATTTTTCATGTTGTTGTTCCTTCTTGTTCTATGTAAGAAAACAAAATATATTCTTGTGCTTCTGACATTTAAAAGAATATTTATGTGTTACAAAAAAAGGTACATGACATTTTAAAAGTTTCAAGAACTTGTATTTGAAAAAAATATTAATCATATGTTTAACCACATATTTGAAAAAAGTTTCAAAAACTTGTATTTGAAAAAATGTTAATCATATGTTTAACTACATATTTGAAAAAAGTTTCAAAAACTTGTATTTGAAAAAATGTTAATCATATGTTTAAAAAATATTAAACGTGTATAATAATGTTTTTAGATGTATAATGGAAAAAATATACGTCAAAACATATAAAATATATGTTTAATATTTTGTAAACATATGATTAAAATTTTAAAATAAAAGTTTTCAAACTTTTTTCAAATATGTGTTAAACATTTTTGGATGGTACGAAACAGTTTTAAACTATGTGAACAATTTTGTACAATGTATAATTTTTTTCAAAAATATCATGAACAGTTTTTTGGAATGTGTGAACATTTTTTAAATGAAAAGTATCATATTTTTTAATTACACAAATGCGTTTTACACTATTTAGGCATTTTAAAAAATGTCATGTGCCTTTTTTTGTAACACATAAACATTTTTTAAATGTCGTAAACACAAGAATATAATTTTGTTTCCTTACATAGAACAAGAAGGAATAACAACATGAAAAATGTTTATCCCATCTGGACATGTTGTGTCCTTGTAGCCTGGTGATAATCTTGGTTAATGTTGACCTCGAGGTCACATTGGTCGAGCCACGGTGCTCCCTTTTTTCAGGTTACATTTCTTGTAAAATTTATATTCCTGTCCGTGTTTATATGATATAGAAATTAGTCATGATACTCAGACATGAATGACCATCGGTGTGGTGGTTGGGGTAGATATTAGGTGATACCACCTATCACATGCTACCATGCTACAAAATTTTAAAAGTCACATCTATATGTTTCAAAAAATCCTGAAAACAAGTATGGATGTTCACAAGACATATATCTATAACCCCTAAAAAATTCTGGTCAAAATTTTAAATATACATTGAGAAACAAAAAAGACACATCTGTATGTGAATAGTGTCATTTTCTGACACTGTTCATGTTTTGTCTTTTTGACACTATTCATTCTAGATTTGTCTTTTTTGTTTCTCAATAGGTATTTCAAATTTGGATCTAAATTTTTTAGGTGTTGTAGACATATGTCTTGTGAACATCCACAAATTTTTTCAGAATTTTTTCAAATGTCTAAATTGGATTTTTGAAAAGTGATATCATGGTAGCATATAAAGGGTGGTATGACTTGATATTTTCCCGTCGCGGGTTCGAAACTCCAACGTGTCCCTGGCCACGCTGGCATATGCCACATAGGCCAAGGATATGTCCACATATGTGAAAATTTGACCGTATATAAACACCCGTGCAATTTTATGACCAGAAACACGTATTTTGCAAGTTTATTCACCAAAGCGACTGTCGTGTGTAAGTATGGTTCCCAGTGTATTTACCTCATTTTAAAACTAAGGTCTAAGTTGTCATAGTACGTGTGTGTGAATGGTATAGATGTTTAGTTACTCGTGTTTTTTTGGAAAAGAGCAAAAGTTTTGGCACATTCATTAATTAAGAGAGAAATGAGTTTCATACATGCCCAAAGGCCACCCATCGGAAACAAAAGCCTACTATCCCGGCACTAATTTACTCAAATGCTTGGCTCCCGCCTTAACCCAAGTAAGAGCTTCCTCGCGGATTTTATAGAAGATGAACCCCAAAGTCATGAATCTGTTGTTCAAGACCCTCGCGTTGCGCTCAATCCAAAGTTCACATGAGACAAGCATTGTGAGAAACGCCATACCCTTGCGGTTGACATGAATTTATAGAAGTAAAATTTAGTCAGATGGACCACGTGGAGCCCACAAGGCATTAGCGCGCCTTGTTGCCTTGCCATCTCCTCGCTTCTCGTCTGGTCTCCTTTCGAAGGTTCTCTTTTGTGCAGAAA